CTCCCTCCCCCCTCCTCCTCCTCCTCTTCTTTTTTTTGAGACAGAATTTCTCTGTGTAGCTTTGGCTGTTCTAGAACTCACTCTATAGACCAGACTGGCCTCGAACTCACAGAGATCCATCTGCCTCTGCCTCTCTAAGTGCTGTGATTAAAGGTGTACGCCACTAGAGCCCAACGTTAATCATTCTTATACACCCAAGACTCTAGTGTTGAGGGTCAGGGAGAGACTCAGCTGGTAAAGGCACTTGCTGTCAAGACTGAAGACCTGAGTTTGAGCCTCAGGACACATATGGTGGAAGGAGAGAACCAACTCCAAAAGCCATCACCTGACTTTCCCAAGTGTTGTAGCATGCAGCACTCACCACACATTTCATTGCTGCAGTAAAAACAACAACAACAACAAAAAAAAAAAACTAAACAAGAATGACCAAAATGAACCTGTGGAGGAAAGGGCTTATTTTTTCTTATAGCTTATTTTCTCTTATACCATCATACAGGGCAGAAAGTCAAACCAGGATCCTGGAGGCAGGTGTTGATGCAGAGGCCATGGAGGGGTGCTGCTTAACTGGCTTATTCCTCATGGCTTGCTCAGGCTGCTTTCTGATAGAACCCAGGACTACCAGCCCAGGGGTGGCACCACCCAGTAGGTGAGGCCTCCCACATAAATCATCAATCAAGAAAATATCACAAAGACATACCCATGCACAGGCCAATCTGGTGGGGGCATTTTCTCAACTGAAATAGGTTCCTCTTCTCAAGTGACGCTAGCATGTGTCAAGATGACATAAAACCACCCAGCACAATTGACCTCTTGTTAACTTGGCACACAAACACATCACTATTGAACTTTTCCTAATATATTAATATTAACATCACAATATAAATAACTTTGCAAGTACTACAGTCTTTAAAAATTCAAACACTAAAAGTTTATCCTTGCTGGGCGTGGTGGCGCACGCCTTTATTCCCAGCACTCAGGAGACAGAGGCAGGTGTATCTATCTCTAAGTTCGAGGCCAGCCTGGTGTACAGAGTAAGTTCCAGGACAGCTACACAGAACAATGAAGTCCAGCTAGGTACATCTCTATGAGTTTGAGGCCAGCCTGGTTTACATAGAAAATGCCAAGACACCTAGAGCTTCATAGTGAGATCCTATTTCCAAAACAAACAAACAAAAAACAACAACAAAAACAAACAAGAAAAATGTTCAGTCTTTCTGGGAGGTGGTAGTGCACGCCTTTAGTCCCAGCACTTGGGAGGCAGAGGAAGGTGGATCTCTGTGAGTTGAAGGCCAGCCTGGTCTACAGAGTGAGTTATAGGACAGCCAGGGATATACAGAGAAACCCTATCTCGAAAAACAAAACAAATTCAGTATCTTTCAAAGTTTCTCAAAAATATCCAAAGTCTCTCAGCTGTGGGATTAAATAGGTTGAAATAAGATACAAGTAAAACCCAAGTCTGGCTTTGCATAACTCAATGGAGACTGAGCTGCAAAGGCCTTGGCAGTGGCTGCTCTGGCTCTACCACCTGAAGCACACACAGCCAGCTCCACTCCACATCTGCTGCTGTCCTTGATCATCCATCCTATGTCCCTGTCATCTCCAAACTACGGAGGTCTCTACAACTGAGTTGCACCTTCACCGGGGGCCTCTTGTGGGCGCTCTTCAAGTACTCTGACCCAGCCACACAGTGCCAAGCCTCAGTCACTCCGCATGACCCTTCAGGCCTGGGGCTTCTATTACAACTGAGACTCCACCTTCACCAGTGGCCTCTCCTGGCCTCTCACAGTGCCAAGCCTCAGCTGCTCTCCAAGATCTCTTCAGGCCTTCAAAGCAGCACCACCTGGGGACTCTTGCACAGGACTAAGTTTGGCTGCCAGCACGAGATGTAGGCTCAGTCCCCTCTGAACTACAGCCTCTGTGCTAACCCTGAAGAAACGCTTCCCAGATTTCACCCCAGGGAAGCTGGTCTCCATCACCACTGATTCTTTAGCCCCAGCTGACCAGCATTGATTGTCCCAGCAGAGCAAAGGTTTCACATTAGCGGAACGGCCCAATAGAATCCTTAAAGGACTCTCATCAGTGGATTTCTCAGCCCAACTTCAAATGCTACTGCAAATCCTCCCCAAAACACATGGTCATATCTGTATACCCCACTCCTGATTCCAACTTATGTTACTTGTAGTTTTCTTTCTTTCTTTTCTTTTTTTTCTTTTTTTTTTTTGGTTTTAAGACAGGGTTTCTGTGTAGCTTTTGAGCCTGTCCTGGAACTCGATTTGTAGAGCAGGCTGGCCTCAAACTCACAGAGATCCTCCTGCTTCTGCCTCCCGAGTGCTGGGATTAAAGGTATATACCACCACTGGGTTTCTATTGCTGTGATTAAAAACAAAACAAAACAAACCATGACCAAAATGAACTTGGGGCAGAAAAGGTTTATTTCAGTTTACAGCTCCTCATCCAGGAAGTCAGGACAGGAACTCAAGCAAGGCAGGATCCTGGAGGCAGGAGCTGATGCAGAGGCCATGGAGGGTGTTGCTTACTGGCTGCTCAGCCTGCTTTCTTATAGAACCCAGGACCAGCAGCCCAGGGATGGCACCACCCACCGTGGGCTGGGCCCTGCTACATCAATCTTCAATCAAGAGAATACACCACAGGCTTGCCCACAGGCCAGTCTGTATGGCTCTTCCCAAATGACTCTACTGTGTCAAGCTGACATAAAACCAGACAGCACACAGATATAAATGTAAATCTAAGAACCTGGTGTTTAAAAAGATACTACCTTGGGGTGACTGTAGTGGGCATGAAGGACAGGGGATGGGGGACTGCAGAAGCTGAGAGAAAAAGCCATGGAGCAGATCCCAGGAGCCCTGATAGACAGACATGGAAGAGATCAGAAATGAACTGCTGCTGGCGACAGGAGACCAGAAAGGGAAATGAAGTAGTCCAGGTCTCCAGGTGCTTTAGCTTGAGCCCAAGTGTGGCAATTCACACCACAGCATGGAAACACAGGTAAGACTCATCACCTAACA